TATCAATCAACAAAATGAGTTTCACACTACTCCCAGCCAGAGCAGCTAATATACACACTATCACGGGTCATCAGAGAACAGCTTAAAATAAATCCAAGAGTGGGTGAACATTGCTACGTTTTGCCATCCCCTGTATTATTCTTGTAATTTTATAAAGCCCCTATCACTGAACTAATTATTAGAGGCACTTAAGTTGTTTCACTGCTCCTAGCACCTTTCATCGAACTCGCGCAGCTCTGAGGAGCTGTTCAAACACACAAGGCTGTCCCTTGGAAACATTTTGCTGCTGTTATGAGTCCTAGATGGCCCCAGAATGGGGAAATTCTGGAGCAGGTTTTTCATTTTTTACTGTGGTATTTCAATACAAGTGTATGGTGGAATAATTATCTTATAGATTGCACCAGATATTTAGTTACTAAAATTAGTATGAAGTCCCCGGTGCTATTTTTAAAATACATGGTTATTTTTATAGATTTACAATAGCATCCAGAAAATAAGTGATCCTCAAAAGCTTCTTTTGTGCTAGGATCATGTAACAGAAAGCAGAGCTCTAGGGTTTAATTTCTATCAATCAACAAAATGAGTTTCACACTACTCCCAGCCAGAGCAGCTAATATACACACTATCACGGGTCATCAGAGAACAGCTTAAAATAAATCCAAGAGTGGGTGAACATTGCTACGTTTTGCCATCCCCTGTATTATTCTTGTAATTTTATAAAGCCCCTATCACTGAACTAATTATTAGAGGCACTTAAGTTGTTTCACTGCTCCTAGCACCTTTCATCGAACTCGCGCAGCTCTGAGGAGCTGTTCAAACACACAAGGCTGTCCCTTGGAAACATTTTGCTGCTGTTATGAGTCCTAGATGGCCCCAGAATGGGGAAATTCTGGAGCAGGTTTTTAAACAGAGGACAAATAAAAAGTAGATGTCTTTAAAAATACAAGCCTCCAAGGCATCTTGGGTTTCCCCTTCTGCAGCGAGCACAGAAGGCTGCTTATCTTGGCTCCAAAACAGATTGATGTGTTCAGCCAGAAGATTCACTATAGCTGACAGAGAACATTTCCTTCACCATATTGCTTCACCATACGAGGAGATAACTCAGGCTAATAATATTCTGTCTCCTTTTTCCCCTCCTATAGCCTATGCATAACTTAATTCTTAATTCCAAAGGGCTTGCAGGGGTGATTGGCCTGGTGCTACTTTCATTTACACACATATAAATCAAAACCCAGTCTACCAGAATAGATGGCACTGCACTGGTGCTAAAAAATAAAATCCTCAGCGACGCCAGAAAATTCCTCCTTAGTTCCCCTCTATCATAAACACCATGTTATCCTAGATTCAGTCACACCCACAGCATTTCTAAGCACTGCATTCCATTTAAATCTGCATGCAAATAGGAGCTATCCTGTTCTCAAGAAATACAGCTTTGCCTATCCAGAAAGCACTACTGCAAATTTGAAACAAGCAGAAAATGGCAGAGTGGTAGAAAGCTGGCATCTGTGTCAATTATCTTTACTTCTAATGAACAGTGTTTTAATTTCTTAGTAATTAATTATAGTGCAACTGTATGGAGAAAAGGACCTTATGATATGCCTGAAAGAATCAGTGTGCAGCACTGGAGTGGGACCATGTTTGTCCACAACATCAGAGAGCCACTCGCAACCTCTTCCTAGTACCCAAGACTGAAGGATCAGGCTTTTGAATCTTCCAGGACCCCTAAGCTACCCCAGGTACTACAGACTGCAGCATTACCATTCGGGATATGAACAAACCCTGTTCTTAGATCTGAAGTCTTAACCCCCAAGCAGTAACCCTCAGCCTTGAAGAAAACCCCACTGAGAGCAGGCACCTGCCTGGCCACAACTTCTGGCTGCATGAAAGCACTCACTATTCTGCCCTACCTCAAGCACACATTGCTGCTTTCAGAAAGCCCACATTAATATTCTGGTTTTGAAGAAGGAATTGAGGAAAGCTGAATCAGAAACTTTGAAAAGTGCTAGCAAGACCCTGGTTTCACTTACCCTAATCTATCATCATATTTCATCACCAGCCTCATACCTGCTCAAAGCTCCCAGCAATGTGCCACCTCTGCCCCCTCCATTAAGGTATAAAACATGGGTTAAGTGACAGATAGTATCAATGTGGATAGCAATCTGTCTCACTCAGAAGCCATAGCACCAGGAATAAAGAAATAATTATTCTACTGGTGTCAATATGATAAATTACCTAAAGAAGAATTTCTAGTTTTTCAACTAGCACAGAAAATTCTCCCTTTTTCAGCACTCCAACCACCAGAGCAGTTTCTCCCGACATCCTGTTCAGAGTCTGTGCTAATGAAACTGTTTATGTTGGTGGATGGCTGATGTGTGATTCATTGTAGCATTCATCTTGGAATAAATATGAACTGGGAGCCAGTGATATGAATTCAAACTGTTCTTTCCATATATTTGTCCCCCAAAGTAAGTTAGCTTGAAAGTTCTGCTGGATGCTTTTGTTAATTTGAACACAATGTTTTGGGAAAATGAGTTCTCAGTGTTTTCTCACACCACATAGATAACACAGACCCACGTGCCAAATGTACCAAGTTTGTGGTCACCCTAACATTTATACCTGTGCCAGAGGTTTGCCTATTGAGTTATGGAGAAAGTAAAAAACAAATCTGATTACTTATTCTAGTGCTAATGAAAATCCATTAAAAATCTTTTCCTTCTGTCCAACCTAAGCTTCCCTTGTTTCAGTGTTACACATTAGTCTCTTATCCCAGCCCTTTCCTTTTGTAGCATCACAACATGCTTTCAAAGATCCTTTTCACTCTCTTAATGTACCCTTGGTGAACAATCTCTATCTACCCATTTACTCCTTCCTTGACAGGCCACTTTTTCTAGACCTGCAATCATTCTTGCTGCTTTCTGCTCCACATCTCTCAATGTGTAATATTCCAAACAGAAGACAGTACTCTGGTTAGTGTCTTAGCAGAAGCAATCTGCCAGGATCCTCAGGAAACTGGTGAAAGTGCTTCATAAGCAGCCAGTCCATCATTGACAGGCACATTTTCATGATGGAAGATTGCACTGCAGAGGGAGAAATGTTCTCTGGTATAACTAGAGAGGTGTCCTTCAAAGGCTTCAAACATCAGGGCAAAACAAGCCTTTGCAGTGGGGACCAGCAGAGGCAATGCTTTCTTCAGTGTTCCCAGAGACACAAGCAGCTGGGTCTTGTATTAGCTCCCTCAGCATGCACCTCTATCCCCCAGCTTCTGCACCATCAGAGAAAAATCCTTGCTGGACTGATACAGAGTGAGGCAACAAAAAGCAACACCAAAGACTGAGCTAATTGATTTAGTCAGGTGAGAGTGGGGACCAGAACAGATGTATCTTGCCATTACTGTCACTTCCATTAGGGAAAAGGAATTAGAAAATGTTGACATGTTAGAAGGTATTTTTTACTGTGCAATTGCTTGCAACTCCAAGCAATGTCATGTCTTTGCATTCGTGACCATGAAAAAAAGGATAAAATGTAAAGGAGCAGCTTTTTTACTGCAGCAGCTGGAGGGGGATTGCTGACCCCTGGGACACACACTCCCAGAGAGTGACCTACTGCTCTCCTGGCCCTGCAGCATTTCTGTAACCTGTCTCACAATATGGCTGAATACAGAGCTGGCTAGAGGAAAAAAGGGGAGAGGGTGGAGAGAAAAGCAAATAAATTCAGCTTATTAATAAAAACTTGATGAACACAAGTCCAATGCAGCAAAAAATGCAGCACCAGAGGACTTGTGATGTCCAGGAAATCAGCACTGGCAGATCTGGCACATGCAGCTGTGTTTGTACCTCACACTGCAGCCGAGTGACGAGTCTTCAACCTGCCCTCAGGTCTCTTCCATATCAAATGCAGGACCTTTTTCCTCTGACCATTACATGTTTGAGGAATGCAGTGTGTTTCTGAGACCCTTACCTTTTGACTTCTAGGGGCAGCCAGCCCTTCTGCCCTTCAGGTGTTAAATTCCCACTCTTTGAAAAATATGAGCACTGTTTAACAGGTCATATCCTGGGTTTATAAAAGAAGGAGCTCCTGGGTGGCACAGAGTGTGCTATTGCATCCTGAACATCCCTACTCAGCCCCTCACTTGCCCAGGGATAACCTTGACCTCAATAACCAGTGCAGTGGTTATTGGGTAAGGGTATTTGGCAAGCTTGAAAATAGGGAAAGGAAGCTGGATGAGGATGTACATAGCCTTGTATTCTCAGAGGCATTAAACATTGGCTCAGAAATACCTACCTGGGCACTGAGCCCTATAAACTGTCTCCCACAGCTTGCACAGATAAATATGCACTGGCAGCAGGCCTTTCCTCCAATGTCCCTGGGAAAGGCACGGGGACCTGCGTATTGGAGGAGCGACACGGGGACTAATGCAGGGAAAGGTGCTGGTTTACACGCAGAACAATTTAAAATGCCTCTCTTTAACAGCTTCCTCTGTAGTCCACCCACTTTCCTTCCTGAGCCTGGAGAAATCTCTGGGAAGCGCTGGAGCAGGAAGATCTGCCTCCTCACATGGGACAGGCTCTCCTCCTCGGCAACCACAGTCCTCTACCCCAGCTCTCCTGAACCTCCTACGAGGTATTAAAAAGTGACAGCAGACAGCAGCCTCTCTCCAGCTTGCTGTATTCAGCTGCAGACCTCTTAAGCCTTCTCCTCCCTTTCCAGTCCTCTAGAAAAGCTGTGCAGAAACATGGGGAACACGAGCTGCTCCTCACTGCTGTCGTGAGCATGAAGCCTGGATTTGCTCATGCTGCCTCCACTCTGGGGCTCCTCTATTGCCACATGTGCAATAAAAACCATCAGAGCATGCACAGGAGGAGGAAGGGACCACTTTTGTTTCTCTGTCCCAGGAACTGAAGGTACTAAATGTTAATACTTGGAAATCAGTAACTGCCAAGAACAAGTTCCCCACCCACCCATCCACCCTAAACTTTGAAGTGTTTTCTTTCTAGCTTTACCTTGGCACACTGGCCAAATAAGTCACAAGTTTCCGAAGGTCTTCCTGCCTTATTCTGTCGTGATTGCTGCGGGCTGGGAAGGTCAAGACAGGACCACCTCGTTTATCACGGCCACCTGCGGAAAAGAAAGGATTGTTAGAAAATCAGGCAGGAAGCACACGTCAAAAAAACTATGTGCACTGAATTGATAAACATAAATTATGGCACATTCAAGAGCCTGTGCACTCTTTGTAGCTTTCAGGCTTGCCTAATTGAGGAAGACATGCTCGCATTTGCTGGAACTCCAAAGGGGTGAAGTAAAAAAAACACATAAAACCCCCCTAACACAAGGAAAATTGCTACTAGTATTTCTTCTAACTTTCACCCAATCCCATCAAATCAAATCAAACTGCCAATCCAAGCAGGCAATGCTAATGAAACACTGTGAGGATAGTTTTACACTGGTCAACACCAAGAAAGTGAAAGTATGTTGTTCTCTGTTGCTCAGTGTGTTGCATCGTTCACTGCCAGACAGTTTACAACATCCCGCCAGTTAGAAGCAACGTATCCCAGTAATGTTTATGCAGTAAGATGTTCTAATCTATCTGGCAATTCATTAGAGACTGAAATTTCGATTACAAGTTCATGCCTCCTATGCTTTCTATTTAGAGAGTGTTGGCAATCAGAATGATTTTTGGTTTGTTTTCTTTTTTTTTTTTTTTTCCCTGTAGCTTTCCTGTCTTAAAATCCATTCCTTTTAAACTGCCAGGGTCTGGCACTTCATCTTTTACAGCAATTGTCAACGGCTGAGTCATAAAGGAATGACTCTACCCTGTATTATACAATCACAAATATAGGGATGAATACAATCTATTCTACAGCATCTTACTTTAATCTTTGTTGTGAATAAAGTTTAATAAACTTGAACTTGTAATCTTGTGCCTCACTCAATGTTTAGGTCTTTCTTCACATGCTATCATAGGATTTTTTCAGGAATTGTGTGTTGTTAGATAGAAGTTTGCATTGTTATCTAGGGAAAAAAAAAAAAGAAAAACTGCAGCTCAAAATGCTAGTGCAGAACTGCAAGGACCTTGCAAATGAGCAGTAACAATGCAGATGACTTTGTGTTTGCCAGTGAAAAGTATATTCTCTTTAACAGAAACGTCACTTCTGAGAAAGGAAAATCACATGCTTCTCTGAACTAATTTATCTGGCCACTGAGAAGAAAAAGCTACACAAGGACACAGCAGATCTCTAGCACTAATCCAGGCTGTGTTCTCTTGTGCAGGACACAGGACACCCACACTCTGTGGGACCATGACTTCTGTAGGGTTCTGTAAACACCCTAATTCAGTAGGAAGAGTCCTAAAGAGGCTCTGCTGTAAGAGCAGGATTGTCATGAGAGCACATGTGTGCTTGCAAAAACAGTATCCTGTGTCACCACAGGACAGAGAATTGCTCTGGCCAGAATTTAGATCAGGAATCAAGGGGGTGCCTCATATGGTAGAAGTTCCTGCAGGTGGACAAATCAGAAACTAAACTGATGAGATACACATACCAGCAAGGCACAGGTGTTCCAGCTGATCCTGATTACAGAGGAGTCACTTGTAGAAGATCCAGCTCCCATCTGACAATATACCCCTCATAGATTTTATTCTGAAATTGTCCATTCAGATGATGCCACAGAAAGCACCAGCTCACCTTCTAGCACAAAGGGTCTCTCTGCATGACCAAAGTCACACAGAAACAGCTAAAAATAGCAATGTTGTTACTATATACACAGTTTTAAAACTATTATTTTTTAATTATTATTTCAAATAGCTAAGTCTAGTCTAGAGAGTTTTCTAAAGCACTGCAGACTGTACAAGTCAAAGTCTGTTACATAAACTTCACCCTTCCAGAGAGAGATGCCAGTGTTACTGAGTTACAGGCTGTTGGCACTGAAACTCCCATCCTTTTCAACAGATCCTATATACCTGAAAGGCTTCATTGTGCAGCTTTCCTTTGGAGCCAGGTCATGTCTGATTTGTCCAGGGGTAGAAATGGAAAGGCAAACAAGAGATGCCATCTTCATTCTGAGCCCTCATGCAGGCAGGGGTACACAAAGAGTACAGAAACTGTTCTGCCTAATCTCCATCCAGATCTCTCTGCCTGATCTTAGCCTTTGGCTTCCTGTTGTGAAAGGGAGGAAGGTCTGTGGGAATTCAGTGTCACCCTGGCTTCTCCACACCTCTGCCACACAGCATGAGAATGGGAGTGTGATGTAAAAAGGATTCCATTTACAAGTTAATAAGCTCTTTTTTATTTTCATATCTCTATATATAAATTCCTCATTTTAAGTACATTCTCCCTTTGTTGAGATTATTTCACACACTGTAACAATGCCAAAACCATTATATCATGCATGATGTGTCCAAGAGAAAAGCAAGCCAACCTATAGAATGGCAAACCCATGTAGTAACTAAAGCTGGAGGGAAATATTTTTTCAACACAGGAAGCTTTTCAAGGTTTTGAAAAATTTCCCATCATATCAAGATATAACCAAGGCTTTCAAAAGCTTCCAAATAATCACTGAAGCAGAGACCTGAAATTGAATTTCAGCCCAGAAGAACACGCTACCCACTACTCAGTCAGGCTCACTCTCATCCTCCACTCCCATTTAAATATTTCTACAAAGTGGAAAAGCACTAAGAGATGAGATCAGGAGACATCCAAGACCACAGTTCTAATCCTCTCCCAGGATATGAAACACCCAGGAAGGGCCATGAGTTTCCCACGTGCCAGCAGCTTTGATTGCTCTCATACTGCCCATCTATCTCAGCTCAGTAAAGCAAAAATAGTGTTTCTGGTCAGGGACCTCCCTTCCTACACACAGTTCCACCACAAGTGAGCTTTCAAAAAATCAAACAAAACAAAAAACAAACTCTCCAAAAAACAAATAAAACAAACAAACAAAAAACCAATCTAAATTCCGGTAGACTAAAAAAGTTAAACGAGAAAATTCTTGACCCTTTTACTAACAGTAACACAAAGATTTCAGCTACAGAAAAAGAAACAGGGTCCCGAACATTCCTGTCCTCTCCTTGCTTTGGGTAAAAATTGTCCCTCAATAGTTCATTTAAACTGTCCTCAGAGGAGCAGGATAAATAAGGCTCTAGCACAGAGTCAAAAGTTACCAGGACACACCTGAGAAAATGGGTTAATTCTCATTAGAGGAGGAAGGTTTCATGATGACCTAGTTGGAGGTTTCTGGAGGATGGAAGGATAGGTACCTGGATCAATTCCTTCCATATTCTGGCCCAGAAGAACAAGAAGAGATGGGGCAAATCTCAAGAAATGTGCAGCTTAGAAACAAAGAGCTTCACATTTGTGTTAGAAGTAGTGCTCCATGCTTTGAGCAATAGGGTGAAATAATTATTGCAAGTAAATCATATATATTAAAATCCTTCACTTGTTTCCAAATTATGCATGAGCAAGCCCTGATTTTTATGGATGTCTGCATAATTTACAATTTTATGAAGAGCCTGTATGAGGAAACATCAGCCATGGTATGTTTAATTCATCGTAAGATTTGCAGAGTTCAGTAACTATGGTTTACTCAAATACTAATATGTAGCTTGCCCATTGCACTTTATAACCATAAATCTCAGATTTTCTAGACAAATTAAATGGGATTTTACCACCATCAAACTTTAAACACCTAACATGCTTGTATTAGGACCCACATCTCCTCTAACAGAGGCTCCAGACAGGTAGCAAAAGCCACTAAAGCAGAAAATCTTTTGGCCTTGGCTGTACCTTTCCTCTTCTGTATTATTATCACCTTTATTACTGAAAGGGATAATGAAGTACAGTGAAGGGGAAAAAATTCAGCCCAAATCCCACAGGAAGTCACTTGAAGAACCAGAAGAAACAAGGTTTTCTGGCTCTTAGTTCACTGTGTTAGAGCTTCATAGTGCTTAGGCTAAAAGTCAGCAATGAAAAATATTATAGAAACTCTGTCTATGCTTGTTAGTAATCCATGCAAGGCAACTAATCTTGCCCCAAATCAGCCATGATCTCAACACCATTTTTATATGCACAGTCTCTTCAGAGAACTATCCAGCATATTGTTTTGAAAGAAAATAAAAAATGGAAGGAAGAAAACAGTCTCAATTGCTCTAATCAATATGTCCCATCTCCTGCCTCCCACTGGGCTCACAGACATTTGATGTAATAATCAAACATGTCATTAGGTTTACTAATTACAGTTATTAAATGCTAAAACAAACAGCTGATAATTTCTAATTGTTTTTCAAGGTGGGTTTTCATGGGCTTTGCTCTGATTTAGAGAGGCAAACAGATGGTCTAGTTATTAGTGCTCTAGAAAAAGGAGTCAGAAAAAAACATGTTCTGCAGGGCACAAAGTACACTGAGAACAAATATTTAGCCATATATGCCTTGCATCCCTCCTACATCATCCTGGCTTGATGGCCTTGCCTGTCAGTGGCTTGCCTGCCAGTTCTTCCCATCTCCCTTCCTTCCAGCCTCTACAGAAACCATTGCTAAATTCAGCATTTGTTCCCAGAAGTAGGATATCATTTTTCCAGCACAAAACATACAGGGGATACTGCAGGGATGGCACAAGGCATCATGATGCACAACACATTAAAAGAGAACATGAAACCTCAGACAACCTCCACGGTGGCTCCAACTGCCCAGCAGCAAGTCAAGATGCTGGCCAACCCAAAGCATTGCTAATGTGAACTCTGGGTCAACCTTCCCACCTGCAAGTCCCGAGGCATTCTTTAAAAGTGTGAATTCACAAGGATTAACTGTAGACACAGACAAATGCCCACCCATGTGAAGGCTCCAGAGTACCTTGTCTACACAAGTAGTGTAGTACCTTGTCTCCAGCACATCAGCAACAGAGACAGGAGCAGTACAGAGTCTCTGGCCTCCATTCAGATGTCTCCTGCAGCTCAAATGAATACACTGCTTCATCTGACCCCAGCACATCAGAAGCTGATCAATCTTGATGCTGCAGACTCTGCTGAGACCCTAAGTGAGTTTCCAGAGGAGCTGAAATACTTCTTGGTAGGTATTTCAGTCCAAAATATGTGAAAAAAATGAACGATAATGCAGAGAACGGGGAGA